CGCGCGCACGCGCACGCACGTGTGTGTGTGTGTGTGTGTGTGTGTATGTGTGTGTGTGTGTGTGTGTGTGTATGTGTGTGTGCCTGCATAGCTCTAGAACGTTGTTGCTACTGACACTGTAGAGCCCAGCATACCCAGGCAGTCCCTGCTTTATTGCTACAACTCACTGGAAGAATTTAGCAGTGGTCTTCACAGGTATCACACTAGAGACTGTTCTGATAGTCCCTGGCACATGTGTTTATGGTAATCACCTTCCTATCATCGTTTGCTCTGGCTCTTAGTTTAAAAGGCTTCTTTTCGAGTCAGTTTGCCTCCTTGCTTTGGGATCGTGGTGACAAGACACAGCATGGTGACAGAGCATGACAGAGTAAAACCACTGAGTTTGTGGACAGGGAGTGGAGACCCAAATGTAGGCCAGGTTCCACAAACCCCTTAAAAGACACCCCGCCATGACCTAAAGACCTTCCAGAAGCTCCCCTCCCTCTTCAAGGCTCTACGACTTTGCTTGTCATGTCACCCGAGGATCAAGCCTTTAACACGACACAAGCTGTAGCGGTGGATCAATGAGACACATCTGCCGGAATAAAGAAAGCCAAGCCAGCAGAGGCGTCTGAGTGGGAATGTGTGCTTGCATTTCTCACCGCTATATATTGGTGGGATCTTATTACCTTGGACACCCAGACTGAATCAAAACAGTCCACTTAAAAAAAAAGAAAAGGAACAGAGTCTTTTACAATCTTTCTGCCCCATCTTCTGCACTTCAAAGAAATAGCTTTTGCGAGACTCGACAGGCCAGGGACTGAGACAGCGTGCACAAGACCCGCATAAGCTTGAGCCAGACCAAATCCCAGCATGGTGGAGGGGAGGTGGGTACAAATTCCTACTCCTAGCAAAGGAGGTATTGGCATTTGATTGCTGCTTGGTGAGGGGAAGGCAGTTTTCTTCACTGGAGTGACATTTGGTACGTCAACTACACTCCAAGGCAGTCCTTGTGTCTAGGAATAGTTGGCCAACACAGGCTGGACTCCTCGGGCTTTGCTGTTTGGTTGTTTTCTTATTTATTTTTGGTAGAAGAAGTTGGGTGGGGAGGGAGGTGATGGAGGATAAGGGAGGAGTTAACGGGAATGAATATTATCAAAATGTATTGTTTGTATGTTGTTCTCAAAGAATAAATAGAAACATCATTTCAGAAAGGAGAAGCGGAGGCTCTGGAGTTGGATACCATCCTGTGTCATACCTGTGATGAGGCTAGGAACAGACTCAGTTCTGAAACCCATTTGAGCCCTCATTCCTCAGATTCACTGACATGACATCATCTCGGGGCCGGTACTTAATGTGGACTAAGAAGTGAACTGCAATTAATCATTCAAGATGAGTTGCTAATCACAACAGCCACATGAGTGCAGGTCTGGTATTAATACAGAATTACTAGCAGCGCTCGTGATAGAGATAAGAGTTATGAGTTAATTATTCATGGTGATTATGACCAGTACAACATGGAGTTGAGGTGGCTCTCAGTAGGGAGAGCTTCACTACCTCAAGTGTGTCTCCTCAGACCTAGGGATGGGGTGGCAGTCATCAATACACTTGGGAAATACCCCGAATTCCTCTTGAAAACTTAAACCATTCATGAGCTTGAAGGCTCTGAGATTTTCAGTGAAGAAGTCTGTTCGTTTCTAAGTTCATATTTTCTCACCAAACCATCATATAAGGTACTGCTTGTTGAAGCTCAACAAGGATGTCTATGGACCAAACATTATCATGTGATCTTTTCAACCGCAAGCTGGGGCTTCCAGCAATCATCCAAGTTATGGGATTTAAGCTGTGTTCAATAGATGCCCAAGATGGGGATAGAGGGAGTGGCCTGAGTGCTTAGCACCTTGTGCCTACTCCTATCACAGAAGCTTGGCTTCTTCATGCTTTAGATAATAAGATTTTCCTTAAAATGTTCACCCATTCCCATTGCAAATGTTTAAAGGAAACTCAGCATGGCCAGACCCATGTGAGACACTTGGATAGATCATTAAACAGAAACAAGAGGAAACGATCTCATGGGACTTTATACAAAAAGGAAAGCAATTGCAAACAAACATTAAAAATTGCTTTGTGTGCTAAAATGTATCAAGTGTGTCAGGAAAAAAAAAGCAGGATACCAGGTTCTTGGTGGGGGGAAGACATGAAGGATGGCTCGTAGTGGGCTGGTAATTCACAGAGCGATTGACAGCCTCCCAGGACTGGAGAAGGTGAGTAATTAAGTCTATCTGGGGAAGAGCTTCCTGTCCAAAGAGACTAGCTGTGCAAAATGGAGTGCTGAGGGGAGTTCCATCAGAGAAGTCTGGGGTCAGAGGGCAGGCAGCTGGTGGTCAGAACAGTGTGTTCCTGTGATGATGGGGAGCAGGAGCTGGGGGTGAGCTTGAGAGCATAGTGAAAAGATAACCAAGGAGACATCAAGGATTGTTTGTTATGAGAGGATAAGATGGATGAAAACCCAACTAACAAGATTAAATATTTACTTTCTCCAAAGAAAAATATGTCCAAGAGCTAAGAGTATAAGACCATATAGACTGTGATAAACAACAGCTGAGGCCATTCTCAACTTCCTCTCAGGGTCAAGTGGGAGGGGCAGTATGCTGGGAAACCGGGCAAAACCAGAAGAGGCGAACATCTTTCTGGAAAGTTAGATCCACTGAAGATAAGTAGCTTAGGCACCCTCAGAGGCTTCCCCTTTCTGCCTGACTTCCCGTCTATCTGGTGGCTCCCCCTGGCCAGCTATAGTGGGAAAGCATGGCTTGCAGGGCTAGTCCTCTGAGAACTCATAAGTTGACATACCCATGTCTCTTGCTGTGTCACACACCGCCCCACAATTCTGTGGCTGAACAGCTGCTGCTTGCTGTACAACACCATGAGCGATTACAGTTCACAGCAACCTGCTATGCATTTTATGAATACCTAGAAGGGAGGAACTCCAACATGAAGTCCTGGTAAGCTGGACATGTTAATTACCCTGCCTTGATCAGAAACATATGGCATACATGGGTTGAAACACCATGCTGTACCTCATAAATATGCAGTTATTATATAATCATCATTTGGTGGAGATAGAAATGTTAATTCTCCTGATTCCATCATTGTGCACTGACTACCTCACACTGCGTTTTCATACTGTATGTACCCCCGTACGCTTACACCATTAAAGTAAGTGGAGTCACGGGAACTTCCGAGCCGCCATATGAGTTGTGAGGCAAACTCTGGTCCTGTGCAAGAGGAGAAAGGGCTCCTACAGCTGAGTCATCTCTCCAGCCCTGTTATGCTCTATAGTCTATAAACTGGTCTGGGTTTGTCCAGCACAGCCTATCACGCTCCAGGGGCCACAGTGAGTGAGGGTGGGTCCCTGGTGTACAGTATGGCAGCTGGGTCATTTTGGCTGGAGATGAGATGATGCCATCCTCCTCAGTTCTGCTTGTGCCTGTGTGATGGGGGAGGTCCTTCTGTGTATATGTTTGTCCTATTGGTTGATAAATAAAGCACTGTTGGCCAACGGGGAAGCAAGATAGGTGGGACTAGGAGAGGGGAAGGATTCTGGGAAACAGAGGCACAGCTAGTCACCATGTAGGATGCAAGATAAGTAAGAGGTCCATGACCCTTTCTCCGATAAGAGAAGACCACCTGGAAATACTCAGATTAGCAGTTATTGGTTAATAATTAAGTCAGAGTTAGCCGATGAGAAGCCATAGCAAATGGCCAACAGCTTTATAATTAATATAGAGTCTTGTGTGTTACTTGGGGGCTGAGACAGCGTTTGGACCCAGGCAGCTGGAGGGAAAGAATACACGTTACACCTGTGCTCCTTGTTTCCCCTCCTTGCTTGGACTTCCTGCTGACACGGGGGCTCTGGGGTAGACAGATTTCTCATGGCACCTGGATTATAAGATGACTTGGTCTTGAAAGTCATTCAGTTATCTATACTGCTTATTTTTCTCAGCACTGTCACAGAACATCGGAACCACAGCATGGCAGAGAAAGGAAAAATAAAAGCAGCCGTTGCTCTCTTGAAACCTAGCAAGAATCCAGAGATGATTGGTGTCTGTGCTCCTCTGACTGTGGTCAATGTCCCTAGGGTCTTTCTTCCACTCACTGTCCCATCATCCCCTGGCTCTTAATCAGCATTTTAATTGGCTGTTGGTTCTGTTCTATTGCAGTGGGATTTTGTTTTGTTGATTTTGTTTTTCTAGGAGCAGGTCACAGCACATACTCTCTGCAAGTCCAGATATTGTATAAACCTTCCTTTACAGGCTTCTCTTGCTTTACATTAGGTTTTGCTAGTGGACATAGAAATTCTATGCTGTGCCCCAGTGTCCAGAGAAAGGACACAGATCTTACCGTTAGTGTTCAGGCATCTGCACTGGCCTGCCCTTGGGGTTCTTACAGGACACGCCCTCAGCTGAAGACACTAAGAGCACCACCTGTGCACATTCACTATGTTCCCTTTTAAAAGGACCCTGCCCACCTCCCATCCTTCTCTCTCTTTCTCTTTCTCTTTCTATCTCTCTCTCTGCTTCTCTCTCTGTTCCTGTCCCCAGAGGTTGGTCTCCCCCAATTCCCTCCTCCTTCTCTGTCTCTGTCTCTGTCTCTCTCTCTCCTTGCTGCTTTTTAAAAATTGTAACACTTCCTGTTTTCATTTTGCACCAAACACCCAGTGTCCCTTGGTAATAGGATGCAGTACATCTTCAGTATAGCAGACTCCCTTTTTTCCTATTGGCTCAGTGGCACTAGTAACCAGCTGTCAAGTTCCACCACTTTAAACTAGCCAGTGCTGGGGCCTCTGAGGGAAGTATCTTTTACATGAGAACTGAGATTTCCAGCAGAGGTCACTCTTCAGGGGAAAGAACACAAGATCCTACAAGGGCATCTTTTGACACTGTATGAGAAACCCCACTCCCAATTCTACACATGAGTCTCAGGCCCATGCATTCTAATTAATTTACACAAAGTCAGTTATCTGTTGCCAAGTCAAGGAAAACATTTATTGGATCTTGACGGGGATGGGGTGGGAGGGAAGCAATGGCTGACAGCACCAACAATGGTGTGGCAATGGACCAAGGAATTCATATTATGACTCTTCAGATCTCCAAGCAGTTCAAAAAGCAGAATCACTTTTGAGGGGGTCTGAAGGTTATCATAATGTAATCAGAAGGTGAAAGGTAAACCTTACATTTATTTCTAAAAAACTAATTGTTTGGGATTTAACCAAGAAGAGAGATTGCTTCACACGTCTTGAACATTTCAAAGAAACGCTTCGCGAGGGTGTGATGGACACACAAGACTGTTGGTAGTTAATGCATACAACTTGCTGTGCGTGGCAGTAAGTATAAATCCATAAGTCCTCACTACAGTCAGTGCTATGCATGACTTCTCCCGAAAGATCCCTCTGGTTGGTCCTTTTGCAGAAACAGTACTTAACCTAAGATGTTCCCTCTCAGAACACAGCACAGTAGTGCTCCCCTTTGGGCAGAATCATCTACCTGCAATGATGCTGGGAATCTGGAATCTGGTCCATTGAGTCAGTCCCCTCTCTAGTGGATATAGCAGGAAAAAAGTCAAGAAAACAACATGCAGGCTGATTCCAGAACCTGCCCAGATAGGAAGCAGAGCAGTGAGTTCAGGCATCTGTGTACAGGTGGAAGGGTAAATCGGCTATGTAGTGTCGCAGGAGGAGATCCACAGAAGTTCCACTAAACTGTATTCTCTGGGGAGATGGGGAGCAGTCACCACCCACGGAGAGCAAGAAGTGGAGACCAAGAGCTGGGTTTGTGGGAACAGGTGTGGCTGGTCACCTAGGAGAGAAGAGACTAGTGTTTAGAGTAGTTTCCTGGTGACCAGAAAGGAACTCCAGGTCTACGGCCCTGTGGGTTTGTCTCCAGCCGTATCTTACTGGATGAGAGTGGAAAGGCAACTGTATTTTGTTGGAGTTCTGAGTTTTCCAAGCTGAGATGGAGACACAGAGAGAAGGAGAGAGGAGAGAGACAGAGAGAGACAGAGACAGAGAGACAGAGAGAGACAGACAGAGAGAGAGCACTAATGTCACAGGAGGAATTGCAGGGCTGTGGAATCACAGCCAGGAAAGAGGACGCGAGGACATCATCAGTGGGGTTGGAAATGGTTCCACTGAAGGGTTGCTGAGGGCGGGGCACTGGGGGGAACTGGCTGCAAGGTGAACAAAAGCTGGAAGGCAGGAGTGAGATTTGAAAGCATCACAATTTGGGATGTGAGCCTCTGAGTTCGGATGGAGGAGAGGAGCAGGGAAGCAGAACCGGGCAGACACTGGAGGAGGAACCGGGAAGCCCCACACACCCTCCTCCTCAGGAATCCTCTACCTGTCACCTCATGCTGGCTTACCTTGGCTCAGGTGAGCTCATTTGTACTCCCAGGGCACAAGACCGGATGGCATCGCCACCTGAGTTCAGGGACAGAGGACACAGGGCGCCCACAAGTCTATTTCTCTGCTTCTTCCTCCCAGTGCTGAGCCTTCCTAGGCCAGCCAGTCCTGCTGTGTGATCTTCTAGACTCCCAGCTCCCTCAGAGTGTTCTGGCCACTGTGACCTCACAAAGCAGCACTCACAGAACCTTCCTAGTCTGAGAGTGGCAGGTGCTGGCAAGCTGGGCCACAGGAGGACTTGTCCTCAGGGGGGTCATGATGGGGAACCCCTCAGAGACAGCTGACCTGAGCTTGAGGGAGCTCATGGACACTGGACGCAGTCAAGGAGCCTGCATGGGGCCAGCCTTCTGCATGTGTGTGACAGTCTTGTAGCCTAGTCCTTAGTAAGGCTTCTAACAGTGAGAGGCCTCTCCCTGGCACTGTTTCTTTTGGTAACCTGCTCTCCATGCTGGGTTGCCTGGCCCCTCCTCAGTGTAAGGAGAGGAGCTCCATCCGGCCTCAACTTGATGCACCATGCTTTGTGCAAGCCCCTGGGAGGGTGGCCTGTCCCTTTCTGAATGGAGATGGTGGAGGGGTGGGTGGGGAGCGGGTACACTCAGAGAAAGGAGCGAGAGGATGGGGGGGGAGGAGGGAGGGGAGACCGGTTGGTATGGAAAATACATTTTGAAAAATGGTATTTAAATAAGATAAAAAAAGACAGAAAAAAAGACTTGTCCTGTGGAGGATGAAGGAAGGAAGCACATTCCTGCTGAGACTGGAGGAGCCTGGGAGATGAGCAAGAGCTGCGTGCTGGAAGGTCACGAGAATATGAGTGAATCCTACCCCAAGGAGTCCACACATACACAGCTCCCAGTGTGAGGGGCTGGGTACCAGGATTCTTTTTAAGTGAAAAATATGTTCAAACCCCTAATCCTGCCCACCTTGCTCTTATGTTAGGAATACTTCACTGAGATCTTTTCTTTCTGGGTGGTAAAGAGAAGTGTTTGTTCTTTGTTTTTGTTTTTTTTTCCTTCTTTGAAATCAGTATCAGTGTCAGACATTTTCTGTGTAGCAGACACTGCCCTGTGTGCCTCGCCAACCCGATCAGTGGAGTCCCCACACCCAAACCTACAGACGTTTCTCTCCTCTCGTTTCTGTGAAAACTGAATGAGATAATATATCCTCAAGTGCATCGCAGAAATGGATAAAAACCATCAGGGACTGATTATAATTCACATTATTCTCCCCATTATCAGTTTGGACTTTGATTCCAGTCCCTTTTCCCGTTGCCTTCTGGGAGACTCCCTGTCTTGTCTAGAAATCTCATTCATTAGACACTGAGGATGATTCCCACATGGCCGAAGGATGTGCGGCTTCCACATCAGCTAAATTAGAACCGTTTAAATTTTTCATCTCTTCCCTTGTCTGCTCTTTGGTCAATAGCTTATTCTGACAACTTCATTACCACCTAATTACTCTAAGTTTCTTTGCCCATTTTCTGCGCATGAAAGAAAAAAAAAAGCATAACTGCCCAAGAAAGGAATTCGGCGTGTCAACTCCTTTGTGGGACACTGTCCTTGGCCCGCTCATGGGAAGGGGTTTTCTTCCTTTTCACCTTAGAATGGATTTGAAGAAAAGCCTGAGTTCTGGCCTGGAACTGACTGCCTGGCCAGCTTCTTTCCTGCACACACACACCTTCCATTGTGAGATGCAAGCTATCAGCAAGATGCATTTTCTCCTCTCTCTTTCTCCAGAGCTGATTTATCCTCTGCCTATAAATCTTTGAGCAGCTATTCAGGAAGCTGTATCAGATGAGCCTTAATCTTTGTATTACTCATTTCTTAAAGGGATTTTAATCTACTGGGCTTTAATTATACATCCCTCAGAAAGTGCTAGCCTTTTCCTAGCGAGGCGCTTTCTTCTTGTAATTTGATAATCACTTTTACTCTCACCTCTGGTGAGACTATACTTAGAAGGCAACTGGAGAAGAGATATTCGAGGTCACCCTGCAGGCCGTGGCACCTGAACCCGGAAGCTTTTGCTTATTGCACGACTACCGGTTAACACCATAGATTCCCAGTTGGTCCTACTTTAAGCCTAGATCCCAGACAAGATTAGAATCTACCCAGGTGAATTAAAGAGACAGAGGGGACTGGGGTGCCCAGACATGGTTGTAACCAGAATGGTTTCAATGTGGAAGCAAAGAGAGAAGATATTTGGAATCTCAAGGGCATGGATAGAAATGCTGTGACCTCACACTAAAGCAGCATCTTGGAGAAACTACCTTATTCATTGTGCTCATCATGTACTGACGTGAATATGGGTATCATAGACCTACAGTAGACTTCTGGGGTCTAATCCAGGAAAAAAACCAGCATATAACACACTTAGTATGGGATACAGGGACTGGTAGGAGTTTACTCTCTCTCCCTTTTTACTTCCAAGATGGTAAAGCCTGATCCCGTTTGTACTTTCATCCTTACTAATGTGTACTGTCTATATTGATGTACCTTCAATCTATATCACCATTCCTCATTGTCTCTACTTACAAATGAAAGAAAACATTGCAGCTAAGTTGTGCCAAGATGTTGGAATTTGTGCCTGGAAGGCCTGACTCCAAAGCCCACTTCCCCTAATAAGCATTAAGAACTATGATTAAGATTCCAGGAACCCTTTACTGCCATTAAGTACTTTACACTTTCTGTTATATTCCTTCTGTGTATGCCAGGACCAGGACAAGGCTGGAGCTAGCAGCGAGCCTAGTATACTACATTAAAGAAGCCTTTACACTTAGGGCAAGGTGGTCAACTATCTGCCCTGGAGGGAAGGACTTCCATAAGTTCTTAAGTCATGTATCCTAGGACTGTTGCCTGGGTCACTTCAGTGGGTGGTAGATTCCCTGTGAAGGAAAAGCAAGTGGCAGAAATGTGGGGGGCTTCTGATCTTTCCTATCCCAAAGCTATGCACGGGGTGCACAATGCCCAAAGAACTGAAGGACTTTGAAAGGCTGGACAAGACAGGCATTCGGGAGTTTTATAGGACATCCAGGCTCTGGCCTCTACACTCTCATATGTATGCTGGAGTCAACCAAGGCGCAGGTGTTTGGAGCTTCTACTACATAGATAAACTCAGCTCGCCAAGCCACCTCCTCCCCATGTATTAGTATAATTGCTTTGTGATAAATATACTTTCCCAACATGTCCTGGCCAATCCTCCAAAATACTGAGAGGATGGAGGAAAACTTGGCAGGGATACCATTGGCTAGGAAAACCCAGAATTGGAATAACTGAGTCTGGACTTGGGATCTCATGTTACTTTGTGTTGCTGACAGAGACAACTTAAAGAGGAATGATACACCGTGGTGGAGATAGAGCGGGAGCAGTGTAGTTCATGTCAACAGGAACATGTGAGAGAGATTCTTCACACCAGTCAAAAAATGTGAGACAGGACCCAGAGGCTTCATGTCCCCTTCAGAGTTCCACTCCTAGTGACCCACTTTCTCCAGCTAGACCCCACCTTTCAAGGACTCCCCAGCCCCTTAGCCTGGCACCACTAGTTAGGGAACAAGTGTTCAAAATATGAGCCTATGTGGGTGTGAGAAATCCAGACACAAGCCAGAATTATCTGATAAGAGATGTAGTTGTATGTGATGGTTCTCAGCTCAGACTCAATGGACATAACTCTGATCTCAAAACTTTAGATGGTATGGTCCAAGAAGGTAAGCCTACTCTACAGATCAGGAGTGTGTCTTCCAAATTCAGACAGACTGTCTTGTGGCATAAAGTCCCTACCCTGATGACTTCTCTGCATTGCCTCATCTAATACTTCCCATAAACTTGCACACAGGACTTTCTGTCACTGTGGTGTCCTCTGTCGATAATAGTAAGCCGCACTTGACTGAACCATGACATGTACACATTGTTGGCCCACCTAACAGAACTGACGGTATAGTGGAGATGATAATGCCCTTAGAACATTTGCACACATGGAGAAAATATGCCACAGGATTGTAGAACTCAGCAGTGAATCCAGGACAGATTCAGAGTGGTCTAATACCAGGCATTGTTTGTGGTGTTAGAAAGTGCTGGGGAGAAAGGAGGAGAGAATGAGGGACCAGCAGCTGTTCGGGTTGGGGAAAGAGATAGAGAGGAAGAATTGCCTCAGGTCTGTTTGTTCACACTTCCCTTGAAACAAGGTTGTGCCTCTTAGCACAGAAACAAAGAAACAAACTGCCTCTGGCTGGCAAGATAGAAGTGTAGGTGTGAAGACAGCAGGGCGTCTGCCTGTGGGGTCCTGTTCTCCTGGGGTTCAAAGGAGAGTGGGGTGCACAAGAGAAGACTGCCTAGGTTAGGAAGGGAGGCTGTGGTACCTAGTGCTCTCATAGAAGGTGGATGTCATTTAACAGGTTCTCTATAATGGAGAAATTCTCCCTGTCTTCTCTTTATTGCTGAATGTTTCCCCATTCACACAAGCTTTTACAGGGAGGGAAACTAAAGAGAGACAGACTGTACTGTCAATATTACAGCTCACTGTCTTCCATTGGAGATAGACGTGGAGAAAGAATATGAGGTACAGCCCTCATCGAGGATGGCCACATCTATAAAAGGAGAGGAGCACTGAGGAGGGAGACCAGGAAGTGGATGGTGAAGGACAGGATAAGAAGAATACAGGCAAGGAGAGGGAAGAAGCCTGGGGCTGAGAACTGCGCATGTGAAGACATAAGCTGTTTTTAGGAAGTATCAGATCTCAAAGTTCATTACTCACAGACCAAAGCTTTGAGCCCACATCTATGCAACTCTGAAGCGCATGGCTAGAAAACACTGCCCCTCGCTAGGACGAAGAGATGGGCGGTGTCTGGGAGGATGTGGGGTGTGAGCTCTCCCGGAGCTTCTGACTACATGCCTGCAGCGGCTCACACCCCAGCCTTGAGCTAGTCACTCTTCTCAAGAGAGGAGAGAGAGCTCTCAGTGGCTCCTATCTTGATCTCGGGCTCTCTCAGCACAGCAGTATGGGGTTCCTGGTGCCCCACTAGATACTATGATGAGTCAGTGACCAAGATGCTCTCCCTGGACATTTTGAACTCTCAAAACAAGGGAATTGGGGGTTGTTTTTCAGCATCTTTCTTCTTTCTCCATGATCCATAGTTCTGAACCTCATTGCTGTCAAA